ACTGGAAGGATATGGGTCTGGAGAATGCGTCACCAAGAGTTTTGGCTCAACAGATTGCAGCCAACTGTGAAGCATGGTAGTTTCAGCGTGATGGTTTGGGAAGCTGTTTGGGTTGGTGGGAGATCGAGCTTAGTGAAGTGCGTTGGCAACATAAATTTTGCGAAATACGTCGAAATATTGGAGAACGGCCTTATGCCACTTTATTCCTCGGGTTTCGTGGACAAGAACACAACGTTGTTCCAGGAAGATGGAGTACCGTGTTACACTGCTATAAACACCCAAAAGTGGCAGGAAGAAAATGGTATCCAGAAGTTGCCCTGGCCGAGCCAAGCTCCCGAAATAACTCCATCAAAAACCTTTGGGCCATACTCGACCCGCAAGTCAAGAAACAACCAAAAAACCAACTTCGAAGAGCGATCTACTCCAAGTTTTGAAGCAAGAGTGGGTGAAAATCCCACAATCTAAAATTGACGAGATGATTCTCACGATGCCCCAAAGGATCAATGAACTCCACGAAACAAAAGGAAGATCTACTAGATATTAATGAAATTCTAAATATATCAATTCATGTGAATATGACTGAAAAATTTCATTTTTTTTAAAAGGTGGTGTCTATTTACTTGTGACCACGCTGTGTATAAGACATTGTGTGCCCTCTCCCACGTTGTGTGTATGTTTTGTTATAGAAAATTTAATAAAGTTTTTTTGGTTTGGTTTAAGAACATGGTGCTATCTATGAATGTAGTTAACATTAACTTCCATCAAAGATAATAATTGTTCAATAACATCAATAATGGGAGTGGAGGGGTTGTAAACCCCCTATTAACATGCCCCTTGTGCCAAACTATCATCCCATAAAGTTTGATTGAGATTGGCCCTAGTGACCTAGGAGTAGTTAGATAAGAGATGAACAGACAGGCTCAGATTTTTGTGCTTTATACATATAAATGCTAAAAATCTCAGAACTAGTGATTCATTTATAAATAAAACTTAGTCACTATCTTAAATCTCAACTGACAAAGCTTTGGAGGTAAAAGTGAGGATTAACTCTGGATCCAGGTTTTGTCATTTCTTAAAATAAAGACATGATTCTTGAAATATGTATGAAATAAAGCTGTATGTCGTATTTTGGTGATGGCTGATATATAGTATGTCTCTATATTAGTACATTCTTAATAATATGCTTTAAATGTTTTAGGATGGTTCAGAAAGAATGATTGAGTCGCTTTCCCTAATTGATGCTGTGATGCCTGATGTGGTAGCTTCAAGGCAACAGCAAGCTCATAGTGTTAAAAATCCAGTAGTGAAGACTGAAACTAATAATAGTAATGGTGAAGAAAATTCTACAAATAATTTTTGTAAGTATCAAATATGTTATCTTGTTACTTTTACGTAAAAAGAAAATGTTAATCCTCTGTATTTGGGCTCAGTCATCTTGATTGGTCTTAGAACCACTATGAAACCATACTTTTATACAAGCTTTTTTTATACATATACATGTCTGCTGTACATAAACAATCAGATTTTTAATGAAGTATTTTTATTGAGTATTTGTCTGTGAATGTTTGAAGTCAGTCTGAGTGCAAGGTGGTTTTCATGTTAGAAATAAAAAATACTTTTCATATTTCATTTTCATAACCTCTAGAACCTCCTAAGTGAATAATAAGTCTTTTTTTCAATAGAATGTTATATATATTATCTAATAAGTTTCTAATATTTACATTTTAGTTACTTTTATAAGAGTAAATAAAATATATTCATTAAAAACAACAAATTCAATATTTACATTTGGAGTCTTGTCTTTTTCAAGTTTTTGTACTTGTAAGAACTAACTCTGTACACTAACCCTACTGTTTGGTGTCAGTAGTGTTGTCTCATAAATGAATTTTTTTTTAAAGTTGAAATATGCAATTTAGAATACAAAATATTGTCATATACAAAAAATATTATAATTTAACTGGTTTTCTAACTAAGCTGTAAATTGGCTAAAATGATTCTGCTAGCTGGTCAAACAGAGCTTCAAGGATAGCAAACAATGTAATGGAGGCCACATTTTTCAAAACCTGTCATCTGAGTGGTTCTAGCTTTGTCAAAATTCAGTAAATTAAAATCTCTTTCTGTTAGTTATAATAATCCAGTACTAAACTTCAGAGAGAACTATTGCCTTTTGTTTGAAAAACGGAATGTGGTAAGAGAGGTGTATAGCATGTGGGTTTCACTTTATTGTATATATATATATATATATCACTAAAGAAAGAAGCTTAAGGGTCAGACATTTACACTGTACTGTGGGAATGTCTGTAGTCTAAGTATTGTAATTATGGGAAGTTTCGAAGATAATATAGAAGTAGAAAGAAAACGTAAAATGGACAATTCAGAGAGAAGAAATGTCATGTGATACAGAGAAGTGATGATTGAAAATTTATTTAAACATTTTTTTTGAAATTAATAAATTCAAACTTATATAATATTGAAATTTGAATTATAAATTATATTTTTATTCTGAAATTATTGACATACATTGATAAAATTACTTAATTAAATTTTGAATGTAACTGGAAAGGGATTTTGACATGTGCACTTGTTGGCCAAAATGACCAAACCCATATACAGAAGGTTAAACATTATTTATAATTCATTATACTTCTAATTGAAAGTGAAATGGAAATTAATTAATTTATATTACTAAAGTTTTATTGCTTTTAAAGGATTT